GTCACCCTCCACTAATACATTACTCCACACGGTGGCAAGGCAGCTCATTGATGCTGTCCCTACTCCCTGTGTTTTAACCATTCACTCCTGGTTGTCATTCGCAGAGGCTCAGATTCACTGCAAAAGACACACACAACCCTGCCAACTTCAAGACCCTGAGCAGAGGCACCTGAGTTAAGGGCAATGTCGCCTTACACTCAGCAGGCAGATGTGAATAGGTGCCAAGTGTGAACGAGCAGCACCCTGTGAACTCTCTTACTGGAGATGCCTCTCATCCTCCGTCAGACCCAGAAGCAGCCTGCGGTGACTGCTCCTGACTTAGGCACACCCTGAAGTGGGCTGCGTCTCTCTAGCGCAGATTTTCCTGTTTTGTTCGTGCTGAATCATCTCCTGCTGTCCCTTCTTAGACCAAGTGATCTGTACGCCTGTGGGCTGCACCTCCTGCTGCCGTATCCCTGCTGACACACCATCCTGTACTCTGGAGGAAGTTTCCTGATGCATCGATACAATTTCTTAGAGTGTAGTGGCCCTTAAATAAAGTAAATTTTGGGAATCAATAGGTTCAAAAGACCTCTTTTTGCTGCTGTAAAACAAGGAAATCCCTATCAGTGCATTCTGTTAAAGTAACCTGAAAATAAATTATATACTGCCTTTATGATGACAGCCATGCAGATTCCGATTACTATTATAAATTATCATTAGAGTTATTTAAAGTAATTTTGTTATTTGGCTCTCTGGGGCTTATTACACAAAAAGAAAAAAGGGCAGTGACCTGGTATCCCACATGAAAAATGAAGACACATAAACTGTCTAAACAGCCACCTCACTACACATGGAGAAGAAATAATTTTTATGCAAATAGAGTCTGAGACCAAAATGCCTTTCTCCCTCACCTCCTTTCTATTTCATGATTAAATAAATCATAAAGCTGTCACTAGAGACCACATAGAAAAAGGTCTCCAACGGTAGAAATGAGAACTTTCTGCATTTGTTTATTTTTAATTTCAAAAGTTATTCTGAATTAAGAAAGACAGAGAAGGAAAAAAGAGCATGATGCTATTTGCATATCTGATTTCCCAGGAGTACAAACAAGCTCTATGTCCTCATGTAATAATACAAGAAATTTTCAAAAACAGACATAAATAAATTAAAATTAAACTATGATCCATAAATTTAATTGAGATTTACAGTGTCCGATGCTTTTCAAATTCAAATTACCACCAGACAGTGCATCTTTTTGAATAAATTATGCAGCTAAAGCCTAGGTGACAGCTTCTCCCTTCTCTCTTGTGTTTTATGGAGGGATATTCTTCAGTCATAGTACTGGAATTTTTGCACATAAAAGCTGAACAATAATTTAGCATTTTTCATAGACTCACCGTGTCATGTTGTATAGTGCTTAGAGCGCAGTGCAGAAAGTGATCAGGGAAAATCAAGCATTTTTGTGTTGAAGAACAGACCAAAATGGAATTCTTCTGTCATTAGAACAAATACCCAAAGGTAACTAGAGTTGTTTTGTGTCAGAGGTCTTTGGTCTTTTTCCACTAAAGAAGATTAAACATCCCAGTCGTAACACAGAATTCTCTGCAGATCAGCCATATCACTTTGGAAACTGAATATACACACATTTCTTACCTAAAAGGGGTGTGAATTTGGAGCTGGAAGAACTAAATAATGGACAGTGTCTACCAAAAAGGAGGAGGTGTTATGGAATAGTTAAGGTTTAATTTACAGAATTTCCATTCAGGACAACTTCACTGGGTAGTGAAGTTCTCAGTCGTTGATCTTGTAGGTATTTCAGATCTTGATTAGAGTGCCCTAAGGAAAAAAAGCCTTTGCCTACAGAAAAAACATTTCTAAGCACAGGTATTTAAAAGCACACACAGAGTCTTGGTTGTCTAAAAGGTTGGGATCCCCACCAGCTGCATGGGGATGCATTTCAGGGCCATGTTTGATACTCTCTGCTCACTGGTGATGTGGGAGAGATGGCTTTGGCAAAGGACCTGAAGAGGAGTCCCCAGCCTGTGGAGTAGTGTGTGGGCTGGGGTGTGAGGGGACTCTGTCCACAGTGGTCCTCCCCTGGGGCGATGGCTGGAGCCCAGCTCCCTGCCAGGAGAGGAGGAGGGGAGCTCCGGGAAGTCAGGCTCCAGCCATCGCCCTGAGGGAGCACCGGTGGTTTGCTCATGGTGGGAATCCCAAGCAGCAGGACTATTCAGTGGATTTTTCTTCCTGATGTTTACCCTTCTGATTACGGCTATTGCTCTCCAGTAATTCCTCCCCCATTTGTTGGACTGAACAAGCTCAGGGTCTTCATATCTCCTGTCAACCCACAGGTTCTCCAACCCGCTGGTCATCTGAACAGCAACTGAAATATAAGCCCGTAAATCTGAGGGAGTAAATGTCTCTTTTCATTTTGAACCAGGGAGATGCAATGTTTAACCATGCAGGAATAAGCTGAATGGTGGGGTTTCGAAAATGCAAGGAAGAAATGTTTTAGGCATGTATTGTGAACTAGCACGATGTTTTTGGATGGGAAGAAAGGGAAAAAATCCTTTAAAACCATGTAGGAACATGACCAGAGACACTATTTGAACTGTTAGTTAATGGTAAAATGAAATATTTCCTACCCATGAAAGTACAAATCATGTATTGAATCAGATTCCAAAGATGATGTAGCATGATAACAAATGCCAAAAGTGATATGCAGAATGCTAACCCCTGTGAGAAAACAAGAAGAGTGCTTCACCAGTCTTGTTATGACATGAACTAGTCTTTATCATTACATTCAGTGAAAAAGCTCTGTTTCCAAAGCACTTTTCTATTACGTCCTTTAATTGGAAGAAGCGACTAAAAACAGTGGTGTGAGTAACATCAACTGGGGTTTTAAAAAAATAAACAAATTTCAGAGTGGGTTGTGTAAAAATCACATGCAGGAAAAAACCAAAGTTGAAGTTCACATGAAAATGATCTCTGCCACATGACAGAGGCCATTTTGCTCATGACATAGACAAATTTCAGCTCAGATCCGTAAATCTGACCGTGGCATCACCCTTCCTAACTTCATCACTCGGCTTTTTCTGTTCTTCAGCACACTCTGCACCTTTCTGCTTCCTGAGCTTTCCTATCCCTTCGTCTGTTTCCAGCTCAGTGGCAACCCCATCCTCAGCTGTGTTCCCTGCTCCTTCTTCCCCCCATTGCCAGAACCACGTGCTACTGTTCTCAACACCCTCCTCCTCCTGAAATGTCAGTGTCACTCGTGATCTGGGAAAATATCGAAACCCAGCATCCCCAAATTCACTTGCCAATAGGAATTGACATCTTTCCCACACATCTGTTTAAATTCACGGTACCCGATGATGAAAAGAGTTGGGTACTAGTCTGCTGCTTCAGTGCAACTGAAAAACACTGCCACTGTATTTCAGACAGTTGGCCACATCAAGCCTGAGTTTTTCTACTTTACTGGCTGCTGGTAAATTACGATCCAGGGAAGCAGATCACAGTCAGGCAGGCTCTCAGGCCCTGCCTATGGTGAAGTTTGGCTGCCCAGTCATTAGTGGAACTGATACGAAGAAACAGCAATGATTAATTTCACTGTGATTTTACCTGCTTTTGCCAGTTTGGTTGGAATGTTCTTAAGAAGACAAGGTCAGAGCAGATTTGGTAATTTTAAAAAACTCTTTTTTTTTTATTATTCCACTCAAATACTCTCAAATCAAACCCTGACTTTAAAAACAGCTACTGAATTTTGGGGATCAAATGTTGCTTTTGTTAAGACTGAAGTCGGTGAGGATCCTTCCACCAAATTCAAATGTCACTGACTCAAGCCTCCAGCTAAATGAGAAGTGCCCCTTTTATCACATCTGTATGAACTCCTTCTAACTTCTTGCCCACCACATGATGGTTTATCATGGCAGGGCTGCTTATGTATGCTAAATAGTCGACTCCAACTTTAAAGGAAACAGCATGAAATATTTACTGCCCTCTCGTGCTTTTTCATACACACACATAATCTCGTCTCGTCACACACATACAGGTGACTGCTTTGGTAAGACATATGGCTTAAGCCTGTAGATCCAGGTGGTCTAATTCAGTGAGTGCTGCTCGTGGGCTGGTAGCCAGGCACTAGAGCAGGAGCTGGTGTGTGTGCAAATCCTTCACACACAGCTCCCTCAGCTCTGTTCCTCAAATCTTTGGCCCTTGTGGAGTTTGTACACATATGCAGAAGAATGAATATTCAAATTCAGGTTATACCAACTCTAACATTGTACTTTTGAGGAAAACGCAGTCCCATACCCAACACATCAGTCTCTCTTATCCCATCATGCTGCTGGTAGTCTAACACAGAACGGGAATATATTATCTTCATGGTCTCCTTTAATCAAGTCCCAATAATCCTTGGACAAAACCCTCTTCAACAGATCTGAACCCAGGAAATCACACTGCTTACAGAGAGGCAGCCAAGCACACAAGAAGACTCCGGGTATTTCCATAGCTCTGTGTTCACATGGGGCAGCAGTACGCTCCAGGTGCAGCCACAGATCTGCAGAAGCTCTGGCTGTGGCTGCTCAACCAGGGGTGGTAGGACCACATGTGATGTACACAGGCTCTTGGCAGCTGATGAGAATAATCTGATGCACAGGATTTGTCTGCTGCTACTGCATGCAATTATCTGACTGCGCAGAGGCATTGCTGGCCTCTCCGACAGCCCCTGAGCGTGTGCGTGAGCAACTTGGATAACAGCTCACACAAGCGAGATGCACCAGCAGCTAAGCACAAGCAACCAACGGCATGCTACTCTGAAGCTGAAAAGTCAGCCTGTCACATTCTGAAGCCATCTGTGAATCCAGTGGATTTGCTGAAACAACAATTTATGCTGTTTCCATATTAGCAAAATTACTCTTTAGCATGCAGAGGAAAGTTAAGTCACATTTTCCTTAACAACTGCTGTTCCCGCCTTGCTGCGCATCACAGCTCTCTGGGGTGACTTAAGTAGCACTGACCTTGGACGTCGCTGCAGTGGCATTACTTTCCTTACCACCCCCCGGTGCACTCTCCTCAATCGCTGCTGCTGCTGCTGCTGTGGGGGCTTCTGCCTTCTTTGCACTTGTTTCCAGAGAAACAGGAGGCCCTACTTTCCCCAGCCCACTCACCGGGGTTGAGCTCGGACTGCTTGATTGCCGCGACTGAGCCTTATACCAGCTAGGGTAAAACAAGGGATCGATGGTTTCTGCTGTGGCCGGCACTTGAGTGTCAGAGTCTGGGGTCTGTTGAGAACCACTTGGTGTCACAACCTCATCCTTAATCAGGACAGATAAAGAGAAGAACAAGCAGAATGCTCCATGTTACCTTCCTGCTGTAGCCACGTTGTTCTACATGCCATGTTTGTTATGTCAGTGTAAGGAATAGTTTTGTCCTAATGTGTGGTCCAAAATAATTACAATCAAAACACAAAGCAAAAGCAACTGTCATTTGAATAACGCTGATATGGGAAAGAAAATTGATTACCGAAAAAATAGAACGGGATGGTAGAATTAGCTGGGAAGGGGACGCTGACTGAGAAAGGAGTGAGCAAGCGGTTTCTTAACTCAAAAAAACCCCCAGTTCAATCCTAAAAATATAAGACATCCTGCATAAGAGCCTCATGAACCCATACCAGCCAAGAACAAGTGTAGGTACGTTTGAAGGGCTTGCTGGGTTTTGGGTTAAGAACAGCACACGCACCAATGAGTCTGTTGATATGAGCAGTCAGAATAAGGGGAATACAAAGACACTGGAGAGAAACATTTGCCCAGCAGCCTTGCCACTAATGCTATAAGCCAAGCGGAGTTGCACTTTGCCAGGAAGAGGAGCAGCTGGCTGAACTGCGCCTCTCTACCTGCATTAAGCTCTTGATGCCACACGGTACCTGCTATCACCACAGCATTTCTGCTTTGCCTTTCTTACATCAGAAGGCAAAAGCAGAAATACCAGTATCCCACACACTGTAACGCCTACATGCCATGTCTGACTCCACGTCTGACCATCTCCTGATGACATTTTACAATTGCTACAGCAGCATGCCATACTTTTCCCATTTTAGCCGTAGAAGTGAGGGACTTCATGTTAGTGGGCAGACTTGCTTATGTCTAGTTCCTGTTTGCAAAAACATCTACATCAGTTAGGTGACGTAAGTTTAGCTAAGTCAGTGCAAATCCTCAAAAGACAAACTTTGGTTAAATCAATAAAGCCTGATTTCAGAGCATCTTCACAAAACTGGTGCAAACTCACATATATTTTTAAATCAAAGCAAGTATGAATCTAAAGTATTTATTTTCCCTTGTTTTATGTGGGGAGCTTGCTACAATCAAAGATTCTTAACGTGCTCTCTTGTTTTCACACTGGCCTCCTCAAATATCTTCACTGCAGCCTTTACTTGCTCAGCAACTTCATGGGTAAATTGCATAAGAGGAGAATTTGTGAAGTTAATTTTATGTAAGGCCAGCTAAAGCAGCACATGAAGTATATCTTCTCATGTAGGTCTTTCAGAATATGTGGCAATTATGGTCTCATTCTAATAGCATTCCTTGAGAAAAAGCGCTGGTCTAAATTATTCACTCCCTGAACCTCTTTGCTGCTAGGTTGTAAGAGGCAGTTTCCTTTTCTATTTGGTGTATGATATCTGCCTAGGCAATATCCCTAGGATGACCAGAGCAGAAGGTGGCAAATGTCGTTCACAGAAAACAGATTAGGAATAGGACATAAAAATTGGTGGTGGAAAACTCACTACATCCAGAGGGAATGCCAAATTCTCTTAGTATAAATATTTTAACAACCATTTCATTTATAATAGTTAGTCTGAGTTAAATCACAGCAAGCAGAATGTCCTTTGTAACGTGCTTAACTCCCAAATGGAATCTCTTTTATTTATATCTTATGTACCCCACATATGCTTCAATTTATCTAGCAGCATAATTTTTTGCCTATCAAGCGATGTACATACAGATCGAGAGGACAAGGTACAGTTGCATGTGTGTGTTCAAGGGCAATAAACGTTTTTGCTCTCCAGTGCATTGACTCCCTCAGCCATTCTCCTGGAGTATGGTGCCTACAGGCCACAGGGGAGCAGTTGCTTGCTCTGCTGGGGCGTACTCGGCATAGCTGGCCGGGCAGCGCAGCACTGGGGACACTTACCTGGCCAGCCGGGGTGGTGGGCAGTGGAGCTGGGGTGGGCTTGCCCAGGGTCTCTCCTGCTGTGCTCTGTGGTTCAGGGTCCTGCTGAGGTGGCTGTGATGCTTTCTCAGCCCCTTCCTCCTCCACCTCTTCCTCCTCCTCCTCTGCTGATGACTCCGTGTGGACTTCATCCAGATCTTCACCATCCACCGTCTCCTCCTCTTCCTCTTCTCCCTCCTCTTCTGATAGGACACACATAAAAGGACAGCGCTGAGCATCACGTGAAGATGGCTACAGTCTCTATGTAATTAAAAAGCCATTTACAATTGCATGGCAAAGCTGCTGACAATCTGCTGCCTGGCAGAGAATGCAGGCTGAGGACACGGCATTGGTGAGGAGCCTGCTCCCACCAGCCTTTGCTGGGCACTGCCATGGAGCTGCCAGCAGGCCCTTCTCAGCAGGGAGGACACCGAACATACATGTTTGTTAAACACTTAAACTGTCCCTTTCCATGGGGAGGAGGACAGAAACTCCTGCCAATGCAGTTATCCTCATGAGGGGTGTGCTGCACAGCCCTGCACTTTCTGGGGAGAGGATAAGTGGACATGACTGGAGGTTTAGGATTCCACCCTTCCTAAAACCAGACCATCAAACTTGTTCAAACTGTCACTTTTGCATCCTCTGACACATCCTCTTGTCAGCATTCGTGGCTCAGCTCTTTTCCAGAGGGAGCCCTCTAACAATTCATTTTCTTTTGCATAATCACACTATTCATCCTCCTAAATGTCGGGCGTTGTTCAGAGCCACCCTAGCACTTCGGAGAAATAAACCTAGATGGCTGTATTAACCCAAGCTCCAAATTTGCTGCACGTTTTGCACAGGTTGTGGTTCTGCCTGAGTACGTAGAAGGAATGCAGATGTACAAATGAAGTAGCGCAGGAGAAATGTTTCTACAGGCAAATACGCTCCTATAGGCAGAGCACTGAATCTCTGCTTCCATGTCCCCTGGCTGCAGAGGACCTCACTGACTGTAGTAGGGGTTTCAAACGCAGGACTGAACTCCCGATTGCCAAAGCCTTTGCTAATGCCTTGTCCCCGAAAGGCGGGTGTCACGTTCCCCATCACATGGTGGGAGTGTGTGCCCAGAGCACGAGGTCACGATCTTGGCAGATGCACGTGTGTGGCAGGGATGTGGCGGTTGTGACTGATCACAGGGACGAACCGGGCACGAGGCTGCGACTAGGGATTGTCCCTCCCAAGACAAATCCCTGGAGGTTCATGGCCCTGCAAAATGGCACCTGCTCCTCTGCTGCTGACCGGTGCCACAGCTGCTGTCCCGCTACATGGACCTCCGTGCCAAGTACAGCTAGTGCCCAGATCCGAACCCACAGACCAAGGTCTGCACAGCAGGCACCCAGGCTCCCGCGCAGGGAGCAGCCGCGCACCCGGAATTCAGTGTAAGTGGTGGCAGGGGAGTAAGTGGTGGGTGGCATCTGCTGCCTCTTAGTAGGAGAGATCTGCTTGTTTGAAACATTTATCTCCATTAACTTTGTGTGGCTTACTCTGTAAGGTAAAGCACAGGTGAGCCGAGATTTCAGGCTACTTTGGTAAATTCAGAATTACAACTTTGCATTATTACACACACATGCTAAGCATGTTTCATCATGAAGTCATGACAAATGGCATGACACAAGATATTCAGTGCATGAAAGATTATGACAATTTTTGCTTCCCTCTATAACTCTGTGATCTTCAAATAGTTTCTGTTACATTTCTAGATTATTATAAAAAAAGAGTTAAAACCCAGTATCTTTCACAAGTACTTCTTTTAGTAGTAAACATTCTATTTCTTTGGTGACTTTCTAGAGCAGACAGGCCATACAATAATGGCATCTTTTAGGGAAAAAAGGACTTTACAGGTTGAGATAAAAGGTTAATTTTGGCACCCCTTCACATGAGGAGTAAGTAAAGATCATGGGCTTAGAAAAGTGTTGAGGCCACATAAAAAGTAAGATTGATGGTGTCAATAGGTCATGTGATTTTTTCGACTGTGATGGATTTTTTCTTTTGATTATGATTAATACAAAATGGTCTAGTTACACTTTGAGATGGAGAGAAACACCTGATTCAAGTTTTCCTGCTTGTTATCATCATGTAAATTACACACAGCTGTATTTTAAGAAAGTAATTTAGGTGAAATAAATGACATACCTCTGTCAAAATCAATTTCTCGTATTATCTTTTCTTCTCTACTGAGGTTCACTGTGAATTGGTTCATATTTTCATACCCATCCTCTATTTTTTCCATTTGAAATCCTTTAGATGCTTCAGTAATTCTAAAACAGAAGGATTGGTTATTGGCATTTGGATTTGCAGATACATTTGTAATTTGTAATTCGTTATAAAGATGGAGAGTCTCAAGTTTAAATACTTACTTTTGTAGCAATGTTTTGGCATTCTGTGAAAACAAAAAGGAAACAACTGAATTCTTAAATGGTTCAATTTTTTCAGAGATTTTATGCATTGAGATCTAACTCTTACACTGCCTGCTTCGAAATGCACTAATACGGATCTCCTAAATGACAACCATGACATCTATGAATGAGATCAAATTTGGACAGTATATTAGTATACAGCTGAGTAAACCTTTTAGTTCATTCAAAACTTTGTAATTAAAATCTGAATATGATGGGAAATACACACAATTTCTACGAAAACGAAATGGAAGTATTTTTTCTCTTTTTTGTGTGTGATTGTGGTGAAAAGCAATTGTTGCATTACCATCTTTAGTCTCAGTAACTATATCTTTCACTATTCATAAGGGCATACTTTTGGAGCCAAAAAATTTTATTTGTCTGGAAAGAATATTGCACTCTTCAAAGACAATTCTTTGATGGAAATAAGGCGTTTTGTTATTTATTTTTTTTTTTTTTGTGGAAAGCACCCTTCCAGCCCTTAATATAGAGGAATTGCAAGCCTGCAGGACAGAAATTCTACACCCATGAATCCAGTCAACAGGCTGCTAATGGTTTCCCAATCAGCTCTCCTAAGTTTATAGTAAGAAAATAGAAAAAAACAAAAATGAAGCAAAGGCATAAAAATGTGGCTTAGAACACAAATATTTAATTCTTGGAAAGTTAATCGCTCTGTCAATATGAGAATGAAGCCTATAACTCACAGAAGTTCATATACACAGAGATTATAGTGGTGGGACAATAAAGATATGTTGGAAAATGTTAAAATTCCTGTTTCTTCTTTGGGGACCAGAAATTCATACACAGGGTAGTATTTTTTGGTGCAAACAGCAAATACTCACGTTCTTGGTTTGGACACTATTCACAAGAAGACTAGTCAATTGTCTGTGCTGATGCAAGTGTTTAAAAAATGAGTTTGTATAAATGTTCACTCAAAGATGCTCAAACTGTGAATGTGCCTAAAATTGAGAAATGCTTGAACAGTATTTCGATAAACCCATCGTACTTTTTCTGTCTCTATCTATAGACTTCATACCTGCAGAAACACGGCCATTTCTGGTTCTTCCATGAACTGGATTCCGGATTCAACGAGCTTTGACACAGCTTCCAAATGATCTGCATACTTCTTCATCAGGGAGCGGACGTGTTCCAGTTTCTCCTCTTGGGTTCTAGTGATTATTTGTGTCATCTCATTTTTTCTTTCTTCCAGCACAGAATAGAGATAATCAAATTTTTCACACAGCTGCTCTTTCTGTCGTCTGCAGCATTCCTGTGAATCATTTAGTTTATGTTAAACATGTTATGTTCTTAAAAGGTTTCTATTTTTACAGTTACTTGGAAGTATTTTCATCAAAGTAATTCCTCTTCTGAACAGTACAAAGGATTCTGAATGACCCCAGAGACTTTCACAATTTTGAAAGTTTAAGCTATTGGAACAAAAGTTTTAAAACTGTTCTTGAACTCTGAGTTTCAAGCCACTGAGAGCCCCCAAACAGGTTGTTTTAAAACTTGTCAGTCTGCTAAAAAATTGTGGAAGGCATTTATGATGTCTGAAGTGATACATCAAAGTCTGCAGAAAAAGTAACCATCACCACCACCCCCCCACTCCCCTCACCCCCCGCCATATTAGCAGCTGGGTTCATTTGCACGAACAGAAAGGTTTTAAAAGGAGTGATCATCTCAAAACAGTTCTGGAGAATTTTATTTTTCTACCGGAGAAACTAGAGCTACCCTGGCTGAGCTTGTTTTCGCATACACCCTCTTAGACTATTTGGACAATAGGTGTCCATTATATTCCATTTACTATGCACTGAATGAGGTAGAGGTACCATGAAGAAAATGGTGTGTGACAAAAGCTCGAAGACAAGAAGGAGGAATCAGGTTCCAACCCTACCTTTAGGCACTGATTTTCACCTCATTTTTTGAGACACTTTTATTGTCCTTCCAAACAGACAACACAGCATATTTCACTGAGTAAAGAGGATGGGTTTGACAACTGCTTCATTGAGCGCGCTCTAACAAGAACGCACTGCACTTGCAAGTGAGAATTTATGGGGAGGAAATTGGAGACAGGTTATCTATAATGTCTGAGGTCTACCAGACAGAAGTACTTGAGTCATCAGTGTGCCCCAGGGCACACATATGGGCATAACCTTATTGTGGTTGTATCTGGTTTCGGAGGGTGGTGATTATTTAAATCTCTTTCCTAGGAACAGAGGCTGAATCAATTCCTCATCTTTGTCCCTTGAGGTATAATGCTGAGATCCTGGCAGCACAGGATTATTAACAGTCCCACAGTACGTTTGAAAGTGGTAAAACTGATTAATCGTAGCACTTGACCAGAAAGAATTCCCCTTTTTTCTTGACTTCCAGCCAGAGCTCTTTCCTACAAGTGGTGACTGCTCTACATCGTTCAAAGGCGAAAGCCTTTTGAAGATGGACGTGTGGCCAAAAAAAAACCAAACTGTGTATGTTGAGAGGTGGGGAGCAAATAGAGGTCTTGTTGCTTTGACCCAAATATCCACCTCTGTTTCCCGATGAGGAAGACTAGGCTAAACAGATACTCCTAATTTAAAACTCCTTGCAGGGGGCCAGGCATATCCTGCCCTTCTGGGGGTCCTTGACGCTTCCCAGAAATTCCTGATTAGTGAATTACAGGGTAGGGATAAGGAAGCTTTTGAATCAAGTGAGTCACGGTTCTGGGGTGTCATTCTATTGTTCAGACCTTGGATAACCTCCCTCTCCTCTTCTGCTCCTCTCCTAGCTTTCTCCCAGTGTTTCCTGCACTTCTGCTTGCTCCAGACTCCTCTTTGGTTTAGTCTACAATGACCTCCTCTGAAATGTCGTTCAGATCACTTGTAAAACATCCTTAATTTCAAGACAGGTGTGTGCTATCTTTGCCGTTTGACACAGGACAAGCGTTATGGGAGGAAGAGCAAGGGAGTGATAGCAGGGTGCCCTGAGAGATCCTTCCCAATCTCTAAGCTCTAATGTATAATATTTCCTGCCAGCAAATATTACAGAGTTGTGAATCTCAAGAGTGGGCGCACAAAACAGGCTCCTAGAGGCAAATGCTGAAATATTTCTGAGATAATCTCTTTCTGCATAAAATGTTCTCATTCAAAGTCTCTGCCTGATGGAATTACCCTAATCAGATTCTGAGTAATGAAAAAGGTTAACAAATACATGTCTTTACATTCAAAAAAGTTCTCAGCCTTTTGTTTTTGAAAGCATGGTTACAGCAAAAAGAAAGGAGTCCTTGCCACTGAGCATGAGTTGCACTGCTTGTACTGAAGTATCTGTATTGACTGGCCAACGCCATTAACATTTGAAAGAAATACTGTAATTTTTCCATCATTATTTGACTCACATTGTTTACAGAGCTAAACAGTACTTAATTATTTATTCCCCCCCCCAGTATTTAGCATTTTATATTCCTTTTTTTTATTTTCAGTGTAACATGTGAATTTGGTCCACCTTTCAATCAGTTAAAGCCTATACAAGTATTAACCAATCTTTTTGTTTGTTTTTCTGTTTTTTAGGCTTGCATAGGAGGGATAGCTAAATATAGAACCGTAGGCTTTTACTTACTCCAGCTAAAAGGAAAATGATCATGTATTTTCTGCTAAAGCAGATATTTATTGTTCTCTGCAAAGTGTTCAGCAGCGAGAAGAGACAATCCTGGATTATAAGCATTCTTTCCATCTGTGCACATTTCTCAGATCCAGCTGTAGCTTTTAATCTTCAAGGACAAACTGATGGCAATTCGGACAAAGCTCTTGTATGGTAAGAAATGTGATTTGTTTGAAATGTAACACGGAAGTGCCAAGGTAAGCTCTGAGATCTCTTTTCTGCAATCTTTGACTTTAAAGGTGAAAAGCCTGTTAAAACATCTGAAGGTAAAATGGCTGCACTTTCTTTGGGCTTTGAGTTTAAAGGTTAGACTTTAAACCTTTAAACCTGAGTGGATGGCTCTGAGGAAGCTAGTTTCAGAAACTGTTGTATTAATAAAGGTATTTTTAGCATAGTATTTTCTCCATACTTCAGACTAGATGTTTGAAGTTTTGTTTAGTTCAACTTAAATGTGTATAAGCTTTTGCTTTTGTATCATTCAAATTCCTGCAGCTAACCTACTTGAAAGGCTTGTTTCTGTCTGCAAAGTCCTGATAACAGCCAGTTTCATCCTTGCGATGTGAAGGCTTCCTGACTACAAAGTTTTGACTGCTGTTAACGTGCTCTCTCATTTACTTGGGCTAATGGTTTTATGTTCTTTGAACCAAACTTGGACGTATTCTGTTCTTCCTTGCTCTGAAGAAATAGGAGCCTTGGGTGATTGTGTACATAGATTGTGGAATCAGTTTTTCTCACTTATTATCTATACATCTTGGTTTAACTTCCTTTTCTCTGCACTTTCTCTTTTCTGCTCTAGCTCTGAAGGGTCAATATAATTTTAATTGGACTGAGAGGGATGCAACTCCTTCACTAGATGCTTCATCAAACTCTGATCATAAAACAAATTAATATGAGCTCCTTTCAGCCTATTGCTCTGTGATGTTCACATTGGTAAGAGCTGATATTTGTATTTGCTTTGCTGGTGCAAACCTCTTGGAGGAAATGAAAGCCACTTCTGGTATTGAATGACACAAATCTAATTCCAGCTCTGTCAGAATAAGACCTTTACCTGCAAATCCAGATTCACAGTAAGAACGCAAACTCTTCCCTCCCACGAGCAACAAAACAAGTCTCCTTAACGGGCAGCATAAGAACATTATAAGACTACTTCTGCACAGGCGGCAAAGCAACGAAATACAGAGCTCACTGGTGCACTTGGCAGCTATGCCATGGGTACCCTGCAGCTGAGACTAAGGCTCTGTTCACAGGACCAGGCAGATGTTAGACTAATACTGGTCTCTTACAGCTTTGGCACTCGATCTTAGATGTTAAATGAACTGGGAATTGATAGCATTTTGTTGGATCTGCTCTGAACTTCAGTGATATCCTGTGCAACTAGAAACGCTGAGCAAGATGTGCTGATCTAGATTATCCGTACTCTTTGTCCTCAGCCACATGGCCAATGTCAGAGACAGGGTGCCAAGCAGGACGTATCCTTTGTTTGAGGCAAAAACCTCACAGGTAACGGTTTAGCGAACTGATGTGTGAATGCGCTTGGGTGAAATCAGGTCTGTTAAAGAATGACTATAACCGGCAGTTTAAAAGATGTGACTTCACACTGAAACAACTTCATTGAAAGGGATGGTACCTACCTCAACAGTCTTGCAGGTCTCCTCCAGCTGCGTGACTATTCCTTGCACTCTGTCGTTGCTCCCCACCAGGACTGCGATGCCGTCGCTCAGCTCGGACTAGGCAGTAAGGGGACAGCAAGCAGGAGGAGATTAGACACCGTCCTATTTCAGGGCGGCATATGTAATCAGGGGGGAGCCAGAGATGAACGAGCCAAACCAGGGTATTAGCTCTTTGTCCACCAGAACCAAGGAAAATTGGAGCTTTACCTGCCCACAAGTTACCCGCCAGTACTTTGACATTTGTTTCCTCTTCCAAACCACTACGAAAGCATTGACCTTTTGAAACTTTTCACAGAAAAGAAGCTGTGGTTGGAAAGGAGGAAGCACTTTGTTCTAGGAGGCTCTTCTAAATGTTTTTGTCTGAAGTGCTATGTTTCAACAGCCCCAAAATATTCACTTTGGGTTTGTTGAGAGAAAAGACTTTGTCTCTTGAGGGGTTGGTTTTTTTTAGTGTCTGGGTCTAGCCATGCCGCTGTGGTTTTTCCCTGAGGACTATAGCTCTTGGCCCTGGCGAGGAGAAGAGGTGGCCCATGGACCTGGAGGGACCAGGGTGCTATGGAGCCCCTGGCATAAGTGCAGTGGGGCTGGGGCTGTGGTGAGAGGAGAAGGGAGAAAAGGAGGAGGAGAAAGTAAAGGCTGAGCCACTGGCATGAGGGAAACCAATGGAAGAAGGGAATGGCCTGAGTGTGGGGAGGGGGATGACTGTGAGGTATCCATAGAAGAGAAGAGACAGAGAAGGTAGTCTCTAGGGAACTTGGAGAGGGTGCTGGGGAGGGTGAGGGGCCCCTGGCATGCCACTGTAGTGACAGAGATGACCATGTTTGTGGCCTCCACAGCTTTATAAAGAGTCCTTTGAAGCACACATCCTGCAGTCTCTGGGTTACGCCTCCAGTCTCGGGCAAGACAGCCCCTTTCCTCAGGCACACTGGGAAGGAAACCACTGCTTGCAAACTGCCATGCAAAGGGAGCGATCAGGGACATGGATTCAGTCCAAGAGACTTCTCCCCCTTCCCCCTCCTTTTTTGATTGAAAAGGATGTTTGTAACTACTTTCTTAAAGTGACTTCTCATTTGTAGTTTCCACACACAAGCATCTGTGTGACAAAGTTGGAGGCTGGGATTGCAAACTTGGCCTGTCTGATTGCTTGCCCCACTGGGACCCTCCAGAAAAATGAGCTGTTTATCTCAGGAGGATAACCCAGTGAGTCAGGTTTTAAATTAATACTGTATTAAAAATAAACAAGTCTTTTACTGGTGACAGCAAGGGCAGAGGATGTTAGGTACATCCTGTGCTGCCAACTATTCAATATTCCTGCGTTCACTTGCAGGAGAAGATTTTTCAATTAACTTTTCTTAAAAATGGGATGCTTAAAGGCAAAATTGCCTGGTAGACGACTATTTGATTTGTAATGGTCTGTTCTCCGCCCAGTTCATGTGTTGGAAATCCCACTTGTTTATCTGATCTAAAAGCACTGGGGAAAAAAAAAAATATACCAGGAACCTGGAAAGAGAGATCCTCAGCTTCACATCAAATTGCTGTCTAAAATGTTTACTCACTATGCTAACTAAAGTTGGGACACTGTAATAGATTTCTGTGTGATTTCTCATAAATTTGTTTTCCCATGTTTCTAAAGAGTTCCTGCAGATTTGTGTGAGACTTTCACTCACACACAGGAACTGCAAAGACACCCCCAGGCTCCTTTGGAAACTCAGAGAAAGTCCACAGGAATACTTTCCTGTCGACAGCAGTGTCAGTTGCTGGGAAGACTACGAGATACAAAAAGATATTTACCTTCTGTCGCTGGTAAACGTTTGTGAGAGGAGCAACTTGACAGTCTTTGTGGGCACCAAAGACTTTGCACAAGGAGCAGGTTGGCATTTCACAGTTCAAACAATAGATGTTAATCCTCTCCTCTTCATGCTCTTCGCACATTGGCTGGTCACACTTCCTTTCGGGTCTGCAAAAGAAAGCAATTTTAAAACAAACTTGGATCCTCATGAGTTTCTGGTGACAACACTTAGGGTGTCAGCACGACATAGGATACGCTTGTAGAGCAGCGTGCAAGGCTGTCCTGAATATGCAATGCAGACTTCAACCTGCCACACAGGATGACTAAATAGACAGCTGTACAGCTTAGTGTCCTGACACAACAGGATGTGATGACAATATAGCAACATGATTTCATACAGGGGGTTCCAGCTGGGAGTGTGACTGAACCCTTGCTCGTATTTAAAAATGTAAATAACCTCACTAAGACTGACTTCAGACTACTTGTGTGCTTTAATTAGCATGTTATCCCATATCTGTCTGAAATATGAAACATATGTAATTCCTTTAGAGTTCATCATGCAAAATGCAGTAACGTTCTTATTCAGGGGGCTAATTTGAAGTGAGAGTTGTAGGTATTGGTGGACCTTCATGCCCTTAACTCTGTATCTCTGCTGATGAGCTTTGTGAAGCCTGGGTCAGGACTGTCAATATCAAACAGAACGGGGTCCTTATGGCCTTTACACTAGGCCAGCAATGAAAATAAAGTCCCACACAAACTAATTTTAGCTGTGTGGCACGTGTCTAGCTTGTACAGCGTTGAACTTTTTAACAGTAGCTACTCAATTGCACCAGCCAGCAAGGGCATGGGTTATGCAAGCAGCGTGCCTCTCCTGTGCTAAGCCAGGCTCTGTCACCAGACTACAGCTCAGTCTTGATCTTCTCTTCACCAAAATGCTTTAGCCACATTCACACAAGTCAATCTTTGCTGTTTCAGGAATTAATTCAGTTGTAGCTTCTTTTAAATAAGCCACTTAACTGACATCCCAGAGTAAGTGAAAGCTCTGGTCCAGCCCATGTAGGCAGGTTGATGCTTTTCAGAGCCCACGCTTCAGGCTTGGCACCCTGATCACGTCTGCAGCAAGCACATGATTGTGTGAGGGTGTGGTGCCGGAGCACAGAGTTAGTAGCTCGGAGAGAGGAGTGTACCTGGGTGTTCAAGCCTCCAAAGCTTGCCGCTCGTACTGTGGCAAAGTTAAATCTTTCCAATATAAGCCGTTATCCCCTTCTGCTACCATTGGGAAGAGCTATGACTATGAGCAGTAGCAAGTGGAGGAGTGGTGTCATAGAAATGTATCTTTTCATCATTGGACAGAAAAGACTTTCCCAAACTACAGAATTTAATGGAATTAAATGGCAATGATTTTTTAAAAGCCATTTTACAGAGCTCTGTAGCAAGGAGGCAATCAGTCATTCTATTACAAGTTTAATAATTTATGGAAAGATCATTATTTAAATTATATTACAATAAAGTTTTTCCATATGGTTTGTTGGAGTGGACATGGCATTTTTTTTTAAGGACAAAATACAGGTTTTCTCTTCTGAAGGGAATGGAATGTGATCAATTACATGTGTTTAAAAAAAGTTTAAGCACCAAAGAAAATGTGTCATGCATTCCTATTTTTTAATTTCAGGAGGGCACTGGAATTTAAAGGGTTCATAAAGAAAAATACGATATACAAGATGATAACGAGACAGCCACTTCTGAAGGCAGCCTGGATTATTTGGGTCAAATTTCCAGAACATATTTACATCAGGCACTCAGTGCGTCAAATTCAGAATCATTTCAATGCTAGTCAAAAGAGGTGAGTCTCCACTATAAGGAATGCTTTACATGGTCTGCAGATGACTGCAAACAGCCCCTAATATATTTATGCTACAGTGCACCCGTGGGAGTGCCTGCATGCAAGGGCAATAACAGATGATGAATTTCAAAGTGATTAATTAAGCCTGAAATAGCTGATTTTCCTGCAAATATTTACAAGACCAGAACCAGAAACTACTAGAATATTATCTGGCAATGGAATGGTGCCACTAGCTTGAAAGACACATTGCACAGGGCAAAAAGGCGACGGTGTCAAGGAAGTTCAACCAGAAGTAGCCAACCTTCAAAGGCGCCGCAAAGAGCTGAAAGAAACTTGGCAGAACTCCCTGAACCAGTGAGGCCCTCAAGTCAGTGACAAGAGACTAGAAGTAATCAGATCTACAGTCTCCTCCCTAGGTTTCGCAAAAGGAGAGATTTTTAGTAGAATGTTCTCTGACCTCAGAGGAAATCCTCTAGGTCTATGCAGGTGTAGCAAAGGCCAAAACACAACCCCGAAGCTTAAAATGGTGGCTGCTCCTAAAACGGAAGATAAAAGAGTAGCCGGTAGGAACATGACAGCATGGCTTTAGTAGAAGAAAAGATTCATCATAAATGTGTTTGTGACCAAAGAAGTGGCAGATAGCTGAAATGACCTAATACTTTTGTGTTCTTGTGTTCTGACTGCTCTTTGAGATGCTAAGCCTGTATTTGACTGCTACGGGCTTACTCTTTTCCATTAAGTTTGGATTTGGGCCTTAATGTGCGGAGTGTTGTGCATGTTTTATGGAAAGGAGGATCCTCAGCACTGGTGAGGCCATAACTGGAATACTGGGTCCTGTTCTGGTGTCCCCAGTAGATGACAGACATGGACATACTGGAGAGAGTCCAGCAAAGGGCTCTGAAGATGATTAAGGGACTGGAGCGTCTCTTCTGTGAGGAAAGGCTAAGAGAGCTGGGATGTTCATCCTGGGTAAGAGAAGATTCAGGGGGATCTTAATCATTACCTTGATCTTATCAATACCTTTAGGTATTTTTTCTTTTCTATGCTTGAAAATGGTTTCCAGGAGAGTTCGCTACAACAGCTTTCCAGGGATCAGTGTGAGGATGATCAGCCTGTAGTTCCCTGGATTCTCCTCCTTGCACTCCTTGAAGACTGGAGTAACAGTTGCTTTCTTCCAGTGCAGCCCTCAGGAACTGGCCCCCATTACCACGACCTTTCAAAGATTATTGAGAGTGCCTTGCAACAGTATCAGCCAGCTCCCTCACCACTCACAGCTGTTTCCCATCAGGATGCCCAGGTTTTTTTTCATTTTCCCTAACCTGATCCCCCTCCACTGAGGGTAAGTCTTCCTTGCTCTAGACTTTCCTGTGGGTCTTGAGGGCATGGGATTCCTGAAAGCCAATCTTACCAGTAAAGACCAGCGTGAAGAAGGCATTGCGTACCTTGGCCTTTTCCATGTCCTTTGTCAGAGGAGCTCCTGCCCCATTTAGCAGTGGGCCCACACTCTCCCTAATCTTTTCACTACTGATGCACCTCTAGAATCTCTTCTTGTTAGCCTTCATGTCCCTCACCAGATTCAGTTCCAGGTGGGCTTTGGCTTTCCAAACTCCATCTGTACATGTTTGGAGAGTGTCTCAAACTATTCCTGAGCCACCTATCCGCCTTTTTTTTACTTCTTTTTTAATGTTTTATTTTTAGCAGGAGCTCCTTGTTAATCAATGCAGGTATCCTAACACCATTTCTTGAGCTCCTGTATTTGGGGATGGACCATGCCAGAGCTTGGAGGAGGTGGTCCTTGAAAATCAACTACAATGATGGACTCTCCCAAAAACCGTGAAGACCCCATAAATACATAGGGTAGAAATGAGGCTTGAAAAAGGAGAAGACTAAAAATGTTCACATAGACATTGGAATTCCTGCAGCTCCATTACACTAGTGCACCACTGGTGCAGGTGAGCTTGGGAATTTGAGGGGAGTTGGAGAAGATCCAGGCGACCTCTTTCCTTATCTCTTTCACTGCACTGTCCGTGGGGCTTCTTCTGCAGCTCCCTTGCTCAGCGACCTGCGGGCAGGGAGCCCACCTCCCCGGTCCAGCCAATCTGGGATCCGCAGGCATCCCTGCAGCCTGTCCTGCAGAGCCACGTCCTCCCTTGGGAGCTCTGGCTGAGGCCTCTGAGGTGTCCGGGATAGCTCCTCCTGGTGGTGCTGGCTACCTGATCCTGAAGCAAAGCCCACACATGCTGCTTACAGCACAGCGCCCGGTCCCTGTTGAGTACACTGCTGCAGGCACTGCTCCATCCGAGCCCCGGGCTGCAGGGACAGCCTGTACCTGGGGCTCTCCTTGCTAGGTGCAAGGCAAAAATAGCGTCTCACTGCCCCTGATCAGGATTTAGCTGGAAACAAAGCCCAAAGCATCATTTGATCAGGAATAGCCGGCTGAGCTCGTTAGAGGCTGTCAGAGCTTATGAGAAGCCACAGCCTCCTGTCGCTACCCTTTCCTGGTGGCAGCAGGCACTCTGATGTTCCTCCAACAGTCCAGGTAATCAGTGGCCTACAGACTTTCAAACACTGGTTTAATATTTTAGCCAACTCTATTTCCACTGGGTTGAGTCCTTTGCCCTCCTTTAAAGCTTTGTAGGAGCCATGTCCTGCTTAAAGATTTCTTTCCTTGCATTGCTAATAGATTCTAAATTGGGCAACAGGCTATGCTGTGATCAGCTGGAATTTGATGAGCAATGAGGTAAAAGACCATATGATGTGATTTTTAGTAATAGGAGGGGCTGCCTGCAAGGGCTTGGGCAGACCCTCCCAACCCCATGGCCCGGTTCCTGCTCCAGATTGTATTTTTTTTTCTTTAAATAATTCCTTAATTCAAATAGAAACTAAAATTTAAAAAAACATTTCAAAAACAGATTATTTTTTGTCTAAGCAGGAGACAAAGCTTGTTCCCTAGCTGAATTCCCTTCACTGTCCAAAGTTCATGTGAAACGCAGCTGGGAGCTGGCATCATTCTGGCACACGCAGTTATGGTGAATTATGCCTAGATGAGGATTCGAGAGGAAGAGGCTCCTGTGTGGAAGTCACAAGTGCTGCCACTTTGAAGGGTTGTCTTGGGAAGCAACAGGGAGGCAAAGGTCACATGTCACCCGTGCTCTTATGTATCTCATCCAGACCCCAGCCCCCGGTTTGGAAGAGACTGGTGCAAAAGGAAGGAAAGTAGAAAACTTGATTTCCCTTGACTTTTTGGGTTCGGTGGGACAGCACAGGGTAAAGCCATGGCAGATCTTGCTCACACTTTCATGGGAACCTGAGGAACGTTAGGTAGAGGGAGATAAGCAGCTGAGGCCTATGAAGTGCCAAATAGTTTAGATAACGCTGCTATGCATTGCCGCTGCTACATACCCCTGATAACTTTCATTCTGAGGACATACAGGAAGGTTAAATAAGCACCTTAAGAGACTAAACAAATGAAACTTTTGGACAAATATCTAAGCAAATATATGTTCATATTTATATTTTTTTCTATTCTCTTTTATTCATTATATTGTGTTTTACTTTTGTCGAATTTCTTACATTTGTCTTTAACTGAATTTTGTTCAAATTGCCTGTGAACTACATGGGAAAAGGAGCTGCATTTCTTTATTTTTCAAGTTAAATACAACTGAGAGCTGAAGAAAAAAACCAAAACCAAGAAAGACATGAGGCCACGCACGCCCAGCTTATTAGGCCAAAAGCAAAGTCCATCACTGTAGCTTTGCTGATTCATTTCCTCTGAGATTTTCCTGACTAAAATAATATTTGGGTATTAATGACACACACAAGGGTAGCTGACCTTCCCTTGGCACTGAGCGTGAAGGACAGCAGAAAGGACACTTTTAAGCCAACTTTGTGCTCTCCGATGCCTTGGACCTCCAAACTATGCCCAGCTACAACAGTCCCAGAAGGGATTCAAGCAGCTGAGAACAGCCAAAGCCACCGCCGGGCTCCGAAATGCCCTCTCTGCTGGTGACTGTCCTTCTCTGCCGGAGGAGGGTCAGCCACCCAAATAAGCCACCCAAGGTGCCGGGCTCCGCCGGTCGTGTCCACCTGCTGCAGTGATACCACATCTTTGTCCCTGTGAGACCCAGCTCCTTGTTGGGGTGGGATGGGAAGACTGTCAGGGAGCATGGCCGGGATCACATGTTCCTTCAGGTGTGCAAAACACAAATGCATGCCGGTGACAACAGGCAGCTTTCCTGGGTGAGAACTGCTTGCTTGGCAGCCTGGGACCAAGTTTGCTTCCCCCCTACGAAGTTCCCCAAGGTCATACCATGCGTCCAACCCATCCCAGGGCAAGAGAGACAAGAACGTAACATTTGCCTGTTGCTGAATCCCTTACACATCCAATGCAGGCGATTAACATTCAGGAATAATCTTACTTTTTAGGATTAACCCGTTCATCTGCCCTGAGGTCCTGATTCTTGTGCGTAACTACTGATGCGTATTATTTCTGGCTATTCCTTCTCTTTCATGGAGTCCTAAATAAGACCTGATTTCATGAGTTCACATCCCAAGGTGATAGGAAAGGAGAATTTTTTACTGGGTTTTGATTTGACATTATGATGCAGGATATCTTCCATGTGAAATTCAGTTTTCTTCTTGTTTGCACTGTCTGTCCCTCAGGACTTTCTAACAGGATTTGAGATTCCTTTCCCTTCTTTAGCATGGGAACACACAGGTTAAAGACAAATCAGAACTGTCTGAACTGTTTTTAAAATAAATAGTGTGAACCTAGCTACTTTTCCCTTATTCATGTGAGTAGCCATCACGCTGACCTCAAGGGATTTGCTTGCATGAGTAAGACTTGCTCATGTGAATAAGCACGGCACAGTCCTCTGCTGTGAGGGGAAGCAGGGAAATTCAGCATCTGTTTGGATATGGTTTTCTGTGCTCACTCAGGGAGAGGTGACTTCATTGCACAGCAAACAGACAGACATGCATGTCAGCACAGTCCCTTTCTGCATTTCCAAGAGAGAAAACAACGAAATCAACATCATGCGTGCCAGACGGAAAGACCAGAGGCCGCCAGTCTCCTCAGCCACGTCCGCTTTTGAGGCAAACCTCCTCTGCAGGGCACGCATTCCCTCGTTACCTTGTGGACTCCTGCTTGTAGATGTCGATGATGTTCTCCACCAGCAGGTTCCTCTGCAGCCCGTAGACGCCGTGCCGGTCGAGGACCACTTCGTGCCTGCAGGACGGACAGCGGAAGCGGCCTCCCGACGCCATGGTTGTACCTCCTCTGGTCGGCAGGTAGGGGTTGGAGGCCTGCTCTTGCCAAGCAGCACAAGGAGAGGTGAGTAAGGCCACGCAAAACCGTGGAAACCTCTTTTGAAAGCACCGGGGCAGAACCACGCCTGTAGCAAGGGGTTCGTCAAGGGGCCCGAGGAGAGGGCAGGTCCATCGAGCTGCCCATGGCGACTGCAGGCTGAGGGGCCGGTCCCCCAGCTCACGTGCATGGCCGTGTCCCCGCCGCTGACAGGGGACACTGCCATCGGCTGCGGGCTCATCCCTGGCCCCTGGGATGCTCGGCTTCTGCTTCAGATCACTTCCCCCACCACCACCCCCCGGTCCTACCGACTGCTAAAAGCAATTAACCGAAACATGCAAAAATCTGCTTTTACACTAATTTCAGCCAGTGCAGCAGAGCTTTCCGCCAGAAGAAACCTACCTGGAAAATGTCGCTGGCACATTTCCGACAGAGGTTGTGCTGGCAGGGCAGGATGACCACGGGCTTGGTGAACATCTCCAGGCAGATGGGGCAGATCAGCTGCTTCTCCAGGTTGTCCATGGTCTGCTGCTCTTTGGAGAAGGACTTGTAGTTCAGGGAGGTGCTCATCCCTAGCTTTTCCAGGGGCATACGCTCAGGATCGCGGCCTCGCGAAGGGCGCTCGGGGTGACATT